CTTCTTTGGACTCAGAACCACAAATCTAATGGAACAAATTGACCTTTAACATACATGTTCCAAAAACTTAACTTTTTCTCTTTTTTCTATTTTCATGTTTAAATAATGTCTCCCAAAACACACTACATTGATTTGATAACCTAATTCGTGCCCTCAGTTTTAACCTATAGTTTAAAAATGTCATTACAGAGTACACCATTGGTAAAAAAGATTCTCAATGAACTATATTTGTGCTGTCATTGAACATTAAAGTGAACAAAAACCCCAGACTAACAACCCTGGACTGTGAATTTTCCTAAACTCCTGTTTAATGAATTCATAGCCTGTCTCTTCTGTCATCCAAAGCCTTCTCAATTTATCATTTTAGACCTGTCCATCACTAGTACTCGTGATTATAAGTTTTATGTATTGACTTAGCTAAACTGTGCTATTCAACCACACTATCAGGTAAGTGTCACTCTGAAGTTATCTTGTAATATAGTTATCATATTTAATTTAATTAGTTGACTTTATGTAACAATTACTCTGGAGAATATGGTTGAGCCTGATCCAAGCAACTGAAAAGGGGTTATGAACAGAACTGAGACCAACTGGTCCCTCAGGAAGAAGGAATTCTGCCAGGGTCAGCTCCTGGCGAGTGGTCCCACCCCGCCCTTTCTGATGGCAGGTCCTGTGGATTCCAGACTTGCACAGTTGTCGTCCCACAGTCAAGCAGTCCGATACCTGGTGATAAATCAACCAGTGCATGTGTGCTTGTGCATGCATGTGTGTACATCGTACTAGTTCTATTTCCTGAGTGGATCTTTGGCTGGTAAAGTATTTTACTATCCTTAGTAATTCAAGGTCTGGCTCAAGTTCTTGCCATGTGCTTTCATGTGCTTTACTGAGTCTATGTCCAATGGCTCCGTCCCCATGATGGTAACAGTTGCCTTGTTTTGAGCCTGGGAGACCCTTCCTCACCTCCACATTCAGAAGACAGTGGTGACCTGGAATTCTCTGAATCTCTACATCTTTAACAGGAGAAAGGCACAAACATGCTCTGCCTCTTACATTAATTTTACAATATTTCTTATGATAGTAAGCTGCCAGAAATGAAAGCAGTGTACCATAAAGCTCTGCCGGAGCAGAGCTCCAGCGATAGAGCTTTACACAATGCAGCCATTTAATGAATGAATGAATGCTCGGTTGTTACTACATACAGACTTAAACAAAAAAAGCAAAGCTTTGAAGTCAAACAGAACTCAAATTTTTAGTTTGGTTCTGTCTTTACTAACTGTAACAACAGATAAATCATGTACTCTTTCAGCATTAGCCTTCTCCTACGGGAAGGGGCCACAAACACTGTCATCTGCTGTACTGGGTTATGGGAAGTACTGAAGCAATGTAAAAGCACACCAGCACAGAACCTGCCATGTATTTGGGCTTGGTGAAATGTAACTATTTTGTTATTATGTTAGAAATAATATCTGCATAAATTAGTCAAATATATGTACGGAACACCTACTATGAGACAGGCATTTTGGTAAATTATCTGGAAAATAAGACTATACATTAATGACTGCTAAGATTTACTAAGCAGATAGTTTATTTTAGAGATTGTTCTAAAACTTTATCTTTGTTACGTCTATAGCAATTCCAGTGAAAAATTACTGTCATTATCGCAAATTGGGGATGAATAATCATACATACAGAATGTTAAGTAATTTCCCAAAGACACCCAGCAAAAAGTATTAGGGCCAGGGGTACAAGACAAGATGGTCTAGTTTTATAGCTTATATTCTGTTGTTGTGCTAAACTACTTCCTGTGGACATGGATTTAGAGTTCGAGTAGCATATACTATGACGAACTACAGAAAATCTTCAAAATACCTCTGATAAAAGGTCAACCTAAAAAGTGCCGCAAAGAAAGGGATTTTTAAAAAATATTCTTAAAATTGTTTCCTATTTGTCACACATATAATATATATTATCGCACATGGGGCCATATTAGAATGGACAAAACCAAGCTGTCTTTACACATTTTGCCGACTCCAGTATGAAAAGATGCTTCTGTATCCTCTAATTAGTGCAAGGCATCTCACAATTATGCACCTTGAATTAGCACAAGCCACTTGTTCACATAGGAAATCAGTTCTCTGTTGTCACATTAACCTCCAGAATTAACATTTAAGGTCGTTGTAGATGCACTGTAATCTTTTGATTCTTTATAAACCAGACTTTCAAAATGAGACACTGCCATTACACAAAAATGAATAATCTTTGGTATTTTCACTTGAAGCATATAATTCCATTATCAAATCTGTACTTTAAAATAAGAGTGGCTTTATAGAGTATTTTTTTCTGCAAAAATTTCATGTAGCTTATTAATAGCTAATATGACAAATATCTCAGCAAAAGAAAGATAATATGAACTTAGTTTGGTTAACTAAACACTTAATGGTAAATCACGCCAGTCAATCTTCATGTTAGCTTTACAGGAAAAGCCATAAGCATTGCAATGATTTCAAGAATATTCGTTTTACAGAAAAAAATATTTTAAAGCATTTTCCTTGCCATTAAATCAGTAAGAAAAATAATACAGCTGCTGCACTCTACAGATCTCACGGCTAGCATGAGCTCTGGAAGAATTTCTTGCACACGGCCTTTCAAAGGTTTCTTCCTGCTGCTTCAGCCACTGATCTGCACTGTAGAGGCTCCTGATTAGACACCCATGACCTCCTGCTCAATAAATATGTTATAATTTCTTCCTGAAACACTTCTTGCACCTGGTCTTATCATCACCCAATGTATAGTTCTCTAACCCACAAACTCATAAGCTGTCTTACAAAAACAGTGTGGGGTTGAAGGGAGGGCGAGGGAATGGGGAAAAACTAAGAACCAAGATATATCATGTAAAGGTACAAATTCCCAATGATGAACGTCATCATATTGTATTGCTAAAATGTACCAATAAAATTAACAAATTTTAAAAAATAGTGCAACTTAGCTATAAATGTCTCTAATTTCTCATTTTTGATGGCTGAGTACTGCTCCATTTTATTAAAAAACCACATTTTCTTTATCCAGTCTCCAGTTGATGGGCATTTGGGCTGTTTCCAAGTTTTAGCTATTACAAACTGTGCTGCTATGAACATGGGTGCACACATAATCACTGTGGTATGATTCTTTTAATTCTTTGGGGAAGATCCCCAGCAGTGGAATAGCAGGGTCAAATGGGACTTCCAGTCCTAGTTCTTTGAGGTATCTCCATACTGATGTCCACAGTGCTTGCACCAGTCTACACTCCCACTAGCAGTGGAGCAGGGTTCCTCTTTCCCCACAGCCCCACCAGCATTTGTCATTGGTTGATTTCATGAGAGCAGCCATTCTTTCTGGAGTGAGGTGGAATCTCAGCGTTGTTTTCATCTGCATCTCTCGAATGACCAGTGCTGTTGAACATTTTTTCATGTATTTATTTGCTATTTCTACTTCTTTGTCTGAGAAATGTCTGTTCATTTCAGATACTCTTAAGTGAAATAAATAGGACACACATGAATAAATACCGAATAGTTTCTCTGGTATGAGAAACTGAAAGTGTAAATAAGGACTAAATGTATAATAGGTAATGTGAAATAGGAAGAAAAGGGGCAAAGGGGAAGGAAGTGGGAGGGCTAGAGGAAAGGATAGAAGGGAATGGGATTAATATGAGAAAATGGAAAAATAGGAACAAAATCTTTGTAAATAGGGAGGAATGGAGGGGTTGAAGGGAGGGCTGGGCAAGGGTGAAAAATAAGAACCAAGAGAGACTATTAAAGGTGCAAATTTCCAGTGATGAATGTCATTATATTGTATACCTAAAATGTACCAATGATTAGAATGAATAATCAATAGTGTAAAATAGGAAGAAAAGGTCCAAAGGGGTAGGGGTAGTGGGAGGGGCAGGGGAAAGGAAAGAAGGGAAAGGAAAAATGGTGAGAAATGGAAAAAATGGAAATAAAGTCTTTGTATATAGAGAAGGGTGGAGGGCGTGAAGGGAGGGCTAGGAATGGGGAAAAAATAAGAACCAAGATGCATTATGTAAAGGTACAATTCCCAATGAGAAATGTAATTGTGTTGTATACCTACAATGTACCAATAAAAGAATTTAATAAAAAAAAAAAAATAGTGCAACTCTCTGTCTCCCCTCTGTTGTCTCCTCAGTTCAGCTGCTTGAACCTGACCAGTCTCATAATCCGCATCCCAAATCTTTCACTCACTTTAGTCTCTTCGAAGTTTTGACCCAGACTTCTCTGAAAACCGTTTGAGGCTTGATGCTCTCTAACCACAAAACAGCACCTTTCTTTAATATCCAGTTTGTACATTATAATCACGCATTTGTCTATTTCCAACACCAATGCATCAAACTTTTGAAGGCATGGGGTATAATATTTGTGCTACTTGATTAGCATCCATTACTTTGAACAAAAGAATAATAAAAATGCACCTTTTTTCTTTTTGGTACCAGGAATCGAACTCAGGACTTTGCGCTTGTGAGGCAGGCACGGTGCCACAGAGCTAAATCCCCGTTCCATTTTGCTATTTTTTTTTAACAGTTTAAAGTTTTTGTTTTCTTGGGTGATGACTGCATTTATTAAAATTATGGCTCATTTTTCTCATTTCAATGTTAATTTTTATTTTTAATACATAATGCATCATTAACATGTTTTTAAAGGATGCTAAATGTGTTAGCTGTCTCATTTTCTTCAGGCAATGACATTACAAATAATCTGAACGGCCAAAAGTACCTGAAAAAGTAATGTGTGTAACGCACAACTTAAACAGAAATTTAAATTAATACCTTTTAAAGAAATCATTTATTTAAAGAGAAAACTTCTTACATTCTACACTATTTAATTATTTCATTTATAGTTTTTTTAGCAATCACTTACCAAAAACTGTCAATGCTTAAGCAATCTAAGAGGAACCCGAATTAATAATAATAATACAACAAAATAAGATTAATATCATATGAACTCTTTTACCTTGGCATTATAGGGAATGTAATGTTTTGATAAAGCTTCAGGCGTATGCATCCATGTTTTGTCTGCAACAAAGAAAACACACATTAAATTACAGGTGTGTATGGTATCATATTCGTGCACTGGCATTTGTAGGGAGTCTAGGATGGGTGGGAGCTTTTCCAATTGTGACATTCTTCTGCTAAGTTAAAGAAGAATACCACTTATAATCAGATATAAGAACAATGTAACAGAATTGACTACAGTATTGTTTTCTTGATATAAAAGTGCCTCAAGTTTTATAAAAACTTTCAAGTAAGGCAAATTATACTGAGTTTTTAAAGAATATATGAAAATATCAACATCAGTCGACTGTGAATAACATCTATTATACAATTAAAGATAAATATTTTTCTTCTTTCACTTTATGGTCTCATTAGTTACAGGTTCTTTCTTTTACTTTCTAGAACAATAAAGTACTCTTTTTTCTCATTGTGCTTGTTTTTAGCATCAAGATTTAAATATTCTAAAGGAAAACATACACTAAGCTAAGGATTATATTTCTATGAAACTGAAAAACTTTCAGTCTACTATGTTAAGATATCGCTACAACTTTAGGATAATCTTTATTCTAAATTTAGAGAAACCCTGACTGAAGGGCTACTATCAGGAGTTTTGAATATAAATGATCTTTTTTTTCCCATTGAGTTTATTGGTACATTTTCGGTATAAAATATAGTAACATTCATCATTGGGATCTTGTACCATTACATGAGTATCTTGGTTCTTACTTTTCTTCCCCTTCCCCTGCCCTCCCTTCA